ATATATTCAGAAAATTTTATGGGGCTTGGTCCATATTTGCCCCTAGCCCCCATATAAAGCCTCTTTCAGAAAATTAGTTTTTTATCCATAAATTGCTGTAATGTATCGGAACAAGGGAATATTGAAGATAAATGCTTTATTATGAAAAATAAATCACATTGATATTCTTAACTGGTGTAGGGTATCATATGGTCGGCCACGCCCGACTATACTTTCTTACTTGTATTTTTTTTTTTGGATAGTGTAGTATACCATTTATAATTTGAAAACTTTAAAGTTCAGTTGTACTTCCGTTCTAGTTCTGGTATAGTTCAGGTCTAGTTCAGTTGCTCCATTGTAGTCACTAGGGCAGGGGGAGAGCAGGCGAGGGCAGGGCGAACGAACGAACGAAACGAACGAACGAACGAACGAACGAACGAACGAAACGAACGACGAACGAACAAGAACGAACGAACGAAAACGAACGAACGAACGAACGAACGAAAGAACGAACGAACGAAACGAACGAACTAACGAACGAACGAACGAACGAACGAACGAACGAACGAAGAACGAACGAACGAACGAACGAACGAACGAACGAACGAACGAACAACGAACGAACGAACGAAAGAACGAACGAACGAACGAACGAACGAACGAACGAACGAACGAAGAACGAACGAACGAACGAACGAACGAACGAACGAAACGAACGAACGAACGAACGAACGAACGAACGAACGAACGAACGAACGAAACGAACGAACGAACGAACGAACGAACGAACGAACGAACGAACGAACGAACGAACGAACGAACGAACGAACGAACGAACGAACGAACGAACGAAACGAACGAACGAACGAACGAACGAACGAACGAACAACGAACGAACGAACGAACGAACGAACGAACGAACGACGAACGAACGAACGAACGAACGAACGAACGAACGAACGAACGAACGAACGAAACGAACGAACGAACGAACGAAAGAACGAACGAACGAAGAACGAACGAACGAACGAACGAACGAACGAACGAACGAACGAACGAACGAACGAACGAACGAAAACGAACGAACGAAACGAACGAAACGAACGAACGAACGAACGAACGAACGAACGAACGAACGAACGAACGAACGAACGAACGAACGAACGAACGAACAACGAACGCGAACGAACGAACGAACGAACGAACGAACGAACGAACGAACGAAACGAACGAACTAACGAACGAACGAAAGAACGAAACAACGAACGAACGAACGAAACTAACTAACGAAACTAACGAAAAATAACTAACGAACTAACTAACTAACTAACTAAACTAAAACTAACTAACTAACTAACTAAAAAAACTAACTAACTAACTAACGAACGAACTAACTAACTGCGATAATATATAGATTTGTTGAAAATCAATCACGGGATATCGGAAGTTCCGGGAACTATAAAAACAAAAGTACTCCGGTTGTAAATAAAACTGTTAAAGTTTCATTGTTAAACCAGGCTCAGGTGTACTTAAGTGTCAGTAGTCAAACTTAAAAATAGGACACTTAACAATGCAAATAAGAGAGTATACAATTTTCAAATCACAAACACGAATTTTGTATAGAAAGATTTGACGAAGCGTAACAGAAAAATAAATGACTGTAGGTGTAAAGTAAAAATAAATAAAATTAAAAAAAACGAACGAGTGAACAACAAATAGAAACAACAGAGCGATCAGCCTCAAGCCATCACAGTATTTTTTTTTTTTAATTTTTATTATTATCTTTTGTGTGAATTTAATCACTTAGAGCTTTTTTATTACTGTGTGTTTTTAATGACACATTCTACAATTAGTATAGACAAGTTCTCGTAAAACCGATCGATATGACCGGCATTATAAAAACTGATGTTTATTTTGCTTTTGAATTTAGTTTATTTTAAAACTTAAACCAGATTTGAGTGTTTTGATTGCAAGAAGAAGTATAATATTATTTTTTAAAAATAAAATGCGTTTTGCTTTGCTGTTTTATTGGGTAAATGATTATTTTTAATTTGTGCCTTAATTGTTATTGTGATTTTTTGTTCTATATTAATTATTTTAATTGAAATTTTAAATTAAATAATTAATTTGCACAAAAAACTGTTTTAGATATATAAACCAAATTAATTGTGTGTGTGTTTTTCTAAGTAAAAAACTAATTGTGATTGTTAAATTATTTATGTAGTTCCACGAATAATAACAATATTATTTTGTATACAAAATACAATATGTATGAAGGTTTGGTATAAAATCCAGAAATTTCATGGCTTGAGGGTCAAATTTATAAAACCATATAATTCTAGTTCAGTTCTAGTTCAGATCTATTTCAGTTCTAGTTCAGTTCTAGTTCAGTTTTTAGTTCACTTCTAGTTCAGTTTCTAGTTTAGTTCTAGTTCAGTTCTAGTTCAGTTCTAGTTCAGTTCTAGTTCAGTCTAGTTAGTTCTAGTTCAGTTCTAGTCAGTTCTAGTTCAGTTCTAGTTCA